TCCTACTGGGGATGTGCCCGCAACCCAGGTACATGCCCTTGACTGGAATCGAAGCCAGGACCTTTCAGTCTGCAGGCCGACGCTCTATCCACTGAGCCAAACCGGTTTCGGCCATTGATGATTCTTGTATGTGCCCTGACCAGGGATTGAACTGCAACCTTGGCTTATTGGGACGACATTCTAAGGGTTCAAAAATATGGTAGAGTAGCATAAGGGAAAAGTGGAATGAAGAAAGCAAGGGTGAGAACAAAGTAGAGCCAATAATGAGATCACAAATGTCCCCCATAGTGACTGGTTATACATTGTACTCTACACTTGCCAGCAGCCCATGGAAACCAGATCAACCTGCTAGACCACACTTTGCTGTCCCTGTGGCATGTGATTTTTTTTTTAAGACTAAAAGTGTGAAAGCACATTTTGTGACCATAGCCAGTTTTTTTAGGCAATGTATCGAGAAGGAATATATGTTCAAACTGAGCCTTTGTTCTTTCCTGTGTTCCATGCAGTATCAGGCCTACCTCCCTAGAGCTGTTTTGTTTGCTCCTTCTGTTGGCCACACAAGTGATTTGGTCTAGGGTACAGCTGGATTGGCACACATCCATCACCACTGTGGGAAAGGAACCTTAGGCTCTGCTGCTGGTGGGTCAGGGGCAGCTGCATCTTACATGAAAGACATTTTTAATTCAGGTGCCCTTTCTTTATCCTATATAATAAAAGCATAGTATGCAAATTGTCCCCTCCACTAGGAGTTCATCTGGGAGTTGGGGGCGGGGGGGGACTGCTGGCTGTGGCAGGCGGCCGGAGGGGGGGAGGGAGTACCTAGCTGGCAGCTGCTAAGGACCCTACTTAGTGCACGAATTTCGTGCACTGGGCCTCTAGTTAATAAATATGAAAAGAGTCTCTTTGCCCTCTCCCATTTATAATGCTTTGCTTAGTTCAAGTTATGGACGTATTGTGTACCATTTTCAGGACAATTTTAAACCATAACACATAGAAATAATAAACTTTGATTATGAGTATGTTGTCATTTCACGGTTTCGCTTTTCCTGATTGCTGAGATCAAGTGGTCCTTTCTTAGGAAGAAGGAAACCAGTCTTCATCTAATAGACACTTGTCCAGGGTCTGATTCCATGATAAAGAGAGTACAGAGAGGAGCCTTGGTCCTGGGATGATTGTGAATTTGGAGGAAGAGCTTTTGTTTTTGTTCCTATTGTGATTGATTGTGAATAGTCAATAACTAAATTTTGAAAAGGCTTTACTACATATTTTCATGTAATGCTATAAAGGCATGCATCTTCCCGAAAACGAACATTGTTTACATTAAAATGAATAGCCTTGATTTATTAATTTGCTGATTAATTTGCTTTTAATTGCTGTTCACTGATTAGACAGTACCCAACTTCATTTATGAATGGATTTCATTCTAGAAGGTTGTTGATAATTAAGTTATTGGAAAATGTGAATACATCTTCCCACTGAAACTAACTTATTATGTATAATTCAGTTTTTGTATTTGAAAATGTGTTTCACATTCCATTGGAAGCTCTTGAACACAAGCTACTTGGCATCTTCAGATGAGAAATGAAAGGAATGGGATGGAGTCATTGTGGGCACGGTGCCCGTAGACACATTGTAGACATTGCATAAAAGTTGGGGAAGTGTTTCGAGGAATAGATGGTTAGAGGGAGGCAGGGAAGAAGACTTTCTAATAGGGAGTTGCCCCTAATTCTAATAAAAGCGGGTTATATTCAGTGACTTAATGATTCAGAGGGATTAAGCAAAAATATAACAAAATGTGATATATATATATGTATGTGTGTGTGTATATATATACACATATACATATATATATAAACACACACATATACATACATACACACACATCAATCACAGACAACAGTGTGGTGATAGCTGGAAGGAAGGGGGTGTGGGAGTAGGTGGAGGTGGGCAAAAGGGGAAAATGAAGATGGAAAGTGACTTTGCTTAGAGCTGTAGGCACACAATACAGTGCGCAGATGATGTTTTTGTACAGCATATAGCAGAAAACTTAATATCCTGAAAAAAAGTTATTTTTTTCTTTCTTTTTCTTTCTATTTTTTGTTAATCCTAGCCAGAGGATATTTTCCCTTTATTTTTAGAGAGTGGAAGAGAGAGGGAAAGACAGAGAGAAACATCGATGTGAGAGAAACACATCAGTTGGTTGCCTCCTGCATGAGCCAGGGCTGGGGAGGAGTCTGCAACTGAAGTATATGCCTCTGGACCGGAATCGAACTCAAACCCGGGACCCTTTGGCCCACAGGCCAATGCTCTATACACTGAGCCAAACTGGCTAGAGCAGGGGTGGGCAAACTTTTTGACTCGAGGGCCACAATGGGTTCTTAAACTGGACCGGAGGGCCAGAACAAAAGCATGGATGGAGTGTTTGTGTGAACTAATATAAATTCAAAGTAAACATCATTACATAAAAGGGTACGGTCTTTTTTAGTTTTATTCATTTCAAACAGGCCGGATCCGGCCCGTGGGCTGTAATTTGCCCACAGCTGGGCTAGAGCAATGACCAGTTTTAACAGACCTGTAGGGTTAGGGTGAAGACAATTGGGCTGAACATAAGGGGTAAGCAAAAGGAGGTTTACAGTTGTGATTACATAAAAAGGAGTTTATTCTTGTGTTTATTAATACAAGATGAGAAATAAAGGGAATGGGATGGAGTCATTGTGGGCCCAGTGCCTCTATTGTATTATTTTTCATACAAACAACTAAAACCTACCTTTATCCACCTCTGTATAGTCATCAAAATATACCGGGACACTTTTACTTATTTTTAATCATAATGTTAGCTCAGTTTCCTAATGATTTTTATCTTGTATCTAACTTAGAGTAGGGGAAGATAGTCTGAACTGAGGCTTCCCATTGCCTTCACTTAGGAATGCCTTATTGGTGACGAAAGAGGCCTTTCAGCAGAAAAATGCTGTTTGCCTGCTTGTGACACAATGAGGCTACTGGAATTTCCTGCCTTCAGTAGAGGAGAATAAGGTGACTTGCTTAAGCAACGTAATAACTGATTTTTTTATACCTGATCTTTCAGAACAATGAAGTACTCGGTATTACTTTTTTACAATTTGTGTTACAAGAACAATATATATCAAGCTCCTACAATATACTAGGTACTCGGCACAAAGACATGAGCAAAAGAGAAACAACCTTTGCCCAGTTGGATCAATTACCATGAATTATATCCTATAATCTGTAATTTCGAGAATAAAAAGTCTTGCAGGGGTGTTTCATTAAAGTTAATGTAAGTTTTAAACTCAGAAGATAGATAGTAGACTTTCATGATATTTCTAAGAAACTTGACATATTAATCATTTCTGGATGGCAGTTTAATTCATCGTGTATTTTAGTATTGGCAAAAAAATGTGAACATCTTGATGGGAACACAGTTGAATAAATACCAACCTCTGTGCTTAGAAAACTAATTTAGATAATAGAACTAAAAGACAAAGATTCCAGAGAAGTTGAAATTAGGTGTAAGGAGCCACTGTTAGAATCAAAGATAAAGTACCCTCAGGAGCAGGACAAATGTGCCCTTACTGGTATTTGACCAGATTTTCACCTTTTTTCCATCTCATCAGTCCTTTGGCATTCGGGAGTGCATCAGATAAGGGACATCACTGAAGTGCTGAAGATTAGCATTAGCTGATTGACTCCATTCTTTGGGAGCATGCTCCCTGCTTGCAGCTAATTTCAAGGTCCTGGAATGTGGCCTGCTGTGCCTCTGGTGAGGAAAAGGCAAATCACTCACAGAATCGAAGTTCAGGGAGTTCTTACTTAACCTCCAGTTTTTAACCAGCAAGAGTTCTAGTAACCACTTAGTGACATGGGGAGGGTAGCCAGGGGTTAAAAGAAATTAAAATCTTAGAACTACTGCATTGAAAGGATTGTTCCCTTCATATTGAAAATACTTCAATATGTATTTTATTCTGATTTCAAAATAAAAGTGCAAATGTTTAAAAGAAAAATCCTTTTCATTGTGCCCCACAGAGATAACTGCTTACTACTTTGGTTTTTACTTTTCTAGACTTCTTTCTAGGCATATTGTATGTATGTATGTGTTAATGTAAAAATGGGGTCACAAGCTGTTCTAGCATACAGCACAGTGATGAGAAGCCCTGATTTAGGGATCAGACCATTCTGGGTTTGAATCCCAGTTCTTCCAGGTATATAACAAGTCTTTGTCCAGTTACTTTATCTGTAAAACCTATCCCTAAGGTTGTTCTGAGTAGTATAAAGTAGATAATATATGTGAAGTACCAGTAATTAAGCATTTAGTAAATGCTTAATAATCCAGCCTCTTATTCCTACCACACTGTCCCCTTCTTACCATGCTTTCCTATATTGATGGCAGGGGTGGGGGGAGCAAAGGGACACAGATATGTTTTTAAATGGGTATAAACCAAGAAAAATATATAGTTAAAAATTTCTCCTGGCTTGTAGAACCTTATATTTTTTATATAAAGTTTTATGATTTAAATTTCATAGGGGTCAATTCAGGTGGGTCAAACTGACCCCCTTAACATTTGTGTCTATTGTATCTAGGCCTTCTTTGGAAAATAGGTAAAACAATGACGTTGTTAACAAATTTTTTGGTTCTTTTGTATGTATATGGAATTTGCATATTATCACAAAAAGCAACATAGTATATCATATACAGTAAATAGCATGATCACCATATGTACTTTTGCTAGTTTATTTGTCTTATCCAAGAAGAATCTTATGTCACTTTATTTGCCTTAATTCCAAGTAGACATACAATTTTGTCTCAAATTAATGGAGAAGGTTAAATATTTACCTTAGTTGAAAGAGTAATTTTAAATTTTGTTTCAGATTTTTATGCTTTATGTAATTAAATGTGAAAATTAAATGTGTATATGCAAAATGGGTCCACAGTTAAATTTCATGACAAAGGAAGTAAATGTTTTTTCCCCCTTCTTTTTCTCTAGCTCAACTGAAAAGTCATTTCCTTGGAGATCAGCAGGTATGAGTTTTTATCATATAAAAAAATCTTTATTATGTTTTGCACGCACACACACACATAAATAGTTTCATTGCATGCTTTTTGAATTACCACCTCTTACTAAAAAGCCAAGCAAGCAAATCCTTTAATTGTAACAATAATGAGCTATTTTGCTTTGAAATAATAATTTTTAATATGCTTAATTTTTTAAAAAATAATTGAATAGATTTGAATATGTCAATGGTAAAGAAAATAAGGTTACAGCATTGGACATCAACACTGTTAACATCAACCCAATAACTGAAAATTTTATATCATAAGCAAACACAGGGAATTCCCTCACAAAGGTTATTGTATAATCTGGGCAAGTTGGCTAACTATTTGTATAAGTCAAGGTTTTATCTTTCACAGTGTTTCTCATACTCAGAAGAGTTACCTGAAATGGTCATTTTCTTTATGTAGAATATCTGATAGCTTCTCATGTAGTCTGGAAGCTTCTTTTTATTTTTCAGTTTTACCCTAAATTCACCTCATACAAAAGATGAATTGAGAAGAGCATCTGCCACTTCCAGAAATATTTGATGTCTCAGCCTTCATTCATTGAATGTTTATTGAGCAGTCACATCATGGACCCAGTACTGTACACATTGCTGGTCAGACAGTGATGGGCACAACACACATATGTCCTCACCTGCCAGGAGCTTATAATGTAAAGGGATGTATACATCCTAGAATCGGCTTTGATATCTAAATACTTTGGCAGTTTTTAAACAAGGCTTGAATTGCTTAAGACTCAGGTCACCAAATGCCTGGTATCTGCATTTGGCTGACCCTGGTGCCAGCAGTCTTGTGTTACTTACAGTGCGTACAAGGCACTCTGTTATTTATCAAGGCGCTATTCCCAAGAACTGTAGTGTTTGCGCAAACCCTCGAGTAGGCAGAGACATATGAAAAGTTATCTAATGAGACTTACAAAGAGCAGTTCAATACAGGGCATGCCATGAAATGATATGTGGTTAATTGCCAACTAAGTATTATGTGGGAAGCATAGTTATAAACATACAACCTGCTTCTGAGAGAGCTTTGCCGACAAGATGGGCCTGGAACCCAGGGCCTGACGTAGAGAGAGGGTTGTCATTAGGCAGCAGAAGAGAGAGCAGAAATGTCACGTGGAAACATTTAAAACTGGTTTGGGAGATGATAAAATGTGCAAAGACTAGACAGCCACAATGGGTCAAATTATAGAGATCTGCAAATATCAGGGCTGTTGAACTCTCCTCTTGCAGGTTTTTGGAGGAGCCACTGAAATTCCTTTGAGCAGAAAGTCACCTGACAAACATTCTTCAGAGCTATGAGCTGTTAAAAAGTGACTTGAAAAATTTAGTTTAAAGAAAAATGCTAGGCACACCATACTGCATTTGTTAATTGGCTTTGGTGAAACTTTACCATTTAATATAAATTTTTTCTGTTAGTTCCTCTTTAATACTGCATCATTAATTTATTCCAGAACTGTTTCTTGAGAGCCTTTAATAGCTGTCTTGCACATAGTGTCCATGTTTAAATCAAGTATCCTTGACCTCTTCAGTGAACGTATATACTGTGTACACCTACAATTTGGGGCTGGGGAGATGCTTTAAAGAAAAACTATTAAGTATATACATTATCTTCAGGTTTCTAATTTTTCATTCTCATAACATTGTGGTAAACATCCCTGTATATAAAATTATATCTGCATCTTTGATTTACCTTAAGCTAGATTTTTTCAAAATATAGTTTATTGATTTTTTTACAGAGAGGAAGGGAGAGGGATAGAGAGTTAGAAACATCGATGAGAGGGAAACATCGATCAGCTGCCTCCTGCACACCCCCTCCTGGGGATGTTCCTGCAACCAAGGTACATGCCCGTGACTGGAATCGAACCTGGGACCCTTCAGTCCACAGGCCGACGCTCTATCCACTGAGCCAAACTGGTTAGGGCTTAAGCTAGATTTTTAAGAAGAAAATTATTTAATGTATATGGAAATTTTTCAAGGCTCTTAATAACTGTAACCAAGTTGCTTTCCTGAAAAAGATTGTATTCTCCCTCCCTTAAGGGATATGAGGTTGATCCTCTCATATTCTCTCATTAGTGTCATCATTTATATTTCTAATTATCTACAAAATATTAAAGTACCTCTGTATTGCCCCTTTCTATTGAAGGGTTAGTGTTTGACAGATGAGAGTTCTCGGTAGCCCAAGGAAAATAGCTGCATCCTCCAGGGCCGTCAGGAAAACTGAGCTGTTGCCATAGCTGAATATAGGGATTTGATACAGGGAAGTTATAGTTAAGAAAGTGTGGTGGGTTGGAAGGTTTGGGAGAGTTGAACAGCATGATGAAGCACCCAAGAGATTAATCATATTAATAGAAGCTGCTACCATTTCTAGGATTACAAGGGCAAAGGGCTAGGTGGTTTGGAGGTGGGGCAGGGAGCGTTTTCCAGCATTAGCTGAAAGCACGAAGGAGATACAGCCTCACCAGAATGTTGCCTCAAGTAGAGCTGCAGAAACGCCCTGGCTTTTCCGTGTTGTCCCCCTCCTAACCCACAGCAGTCTGCCATGCTGAATTGAGCGGGAATGACAGGTGTAGATTTTTAACTACCGTATTTGCCGGCGTATAAGACGACTGGGCGTATAAGACAACCCCCTAACATTTCCACTCAAAATACAGAGTTTGTTATATACTCGCCGTATAAGACTACCCCTCTCTTCCGCACACCTTCCACACACCAAATAAAAGGTAAAACAATATCAGATTTGATTTTAACATTTTAATTTATATTCAAATGCTTATGACATGCAGGAAAACTGTCACAAGGCTGTATGTAATCAAACATATACATAAAACAGTGCAAGTTTATTACCGGTAAACATACCGGTAATTCACTAAAGAAAACACACTCTATAGACTGGTACCGTAGATGCTTCTCAGGAACACAGGCAAGCAGCCCACAACCTAGAGGGACTGTCAATGATAGAAGTAAGATAACAAATAGAGGGAGAGAGCAAGTGCCGGGCAAGTCCCTAGCAAGTTTGCTGGCGTGACAGTTTCACCTTAAAAGCCTTCAAACTCCTCTTTCCACCCTTGCATCAGCATCTCCCTGGGACCTCACTAGTGCGCAAGTGCGAGCTCTTCAACATTCTAACAGGCACCATGATAGCGCAAAATCGCGAATCTTCAATGCATATGTAAAGAAATATACGGTAACCCGAATTTACCACACTCGCAAAATCGCACACAGCCAACCATACACGCAGTATGGTATCGCGATTCGCGATTTTGCGCTATCATACTGGGTGTATGGTCGGCTGTGTGCGATTTTGCGAGTGTGGTAAAATCGCATAACAGCAAAATCGCATAACAGCCGAGCATACACCCAGCAGCGCTGCTGATGCCTGAACGGTATGTGGAATGAAGTGGGCGGGCATCGGGAGGCCACTATGGCACGGGGCAAGCACTATGGGCAGTCTATCTGAAGTGTACCTGGCGTATAAGACGACCCCCCACTTGGAGGCATATTTTTCAGGGCCAAAAAATCGTCTTATACGCCGGCAAATACGGTACCAAAAAGCCAGGAGGCACAGTGCATAATTGTGTTGATTTACATATAGAGAGCATGACCTTCAATTATGAAGACACATGATAGGCCATGAGATAGTTGAGCACTGGGCACTCCTTCTACCTCTTCTACCCTTTAATACATTGACTCAGCTTCAGTCATTTGACCACCACCTTCACAATTTACTAATGCACGAAATATAGATCGATAAAATATGTTATATATGTAAATATTACACACACACACACACACAAACAGCTTCCCAGATACTTTAATGTTAGGGAAATACAGCTCCAGTAATTCATCTGCCTCACCCAATTCACACCTAATAACTGTGCTTCATGCCTTTTGTCAGAGTGTACTCTTGCCCAAACTCATATTCAGACCTGGGAGGTATTACATTTACTTACGCTTTTTTCTTTTGGTGCGGAGGGGGAAATATATTAACCTTCAAACACAGCAATCACAACTGATACTTATTTAACTTTGTTATCTTAACTAGTTATTTGTTATTAGAGGCCCGATGCACGAAATTCATGCATAGGTAGGGTCTCTAGGCCTGGCTGGCGATCAGGGCCAATCTGTGGGGCAACTGGCGGGGTGATCGGGGGACGGGGGGGCCTGCTGACACCCACCTTGGCCGGCCTGGCACCCCCCACTCGCCAGCCCTGCCCCCCCACCTCCACCTGCTTGCCAGGTGGCCCTGTCTCCTGCCACCACCACCCGTCACCTCCCTCTGCAGGGTGACCAGCGGAGCAATCGGGGGGCCCCCACTGGCACCTGCCTTAGCTGGCCTGGGGCCTGCAGGCTTGGGGTAGCTTCTGTGTTGAGCATCTGCCCCCTGGTGGTCAGTGCACATCATAGCAACTGGTTATTCCACCGGTTGTTCTGCCATTTGGTCGATTTGCATATTAGATTTTTACTATATAGGACTAGAGGCCCGCTGCACTAAAATTTGTGCACTCGGGGGTGGGGGGGTACTTCAGCCCAGCCTATGCCCTCTTGCAGTCTAGGACTCCTCAGAGGATGTCCACCTGCTGGCTTAGGCCCGCTCCCTGGGGGGATCGGGCCCAAGCTGGCAGTC